TATCTATGTCCAGGGACAATTTTGCCTCTTCAGAAAGACTAGGTATGGATAGACTATCCAGAAAGGTTGTTTGTGCACCATTGTTTAAATATTCAGAGGTGTATAAAGTCTCGAAAAAGCATTTAAAAGTATTGTTTATTTTAGCTGGGTCACTTGTTATATTCCCATCTTCAATAGAATTTATTGTTCTTTCAGATTGATTTTGTTTAATTCTCCAAGCTAACAATTTCCCCACTTTTTCACCTTAATCATAATAATTTTGCCTTAACATCATAAGGCTGGCAGCTGCTTTTTGGCAGATAATTCGTTGTATTTAGTTCTAAGAGTTAACAATTCTTGGTGAATGGTCAACTCATCTTTATCTGATAAGTTTTTTTCAAGAAGTTTAATTTTTCTATTGAGTGCAGTCAATTATTTTTTATAGCCTTTTGATTTACTGCTTGTGACGCTTATAAGAACACCTCTGATGAAAATTTTAAAAGCTTCCCATCTGATACAGGCTGAGGTTTGTGTTGTGTTAATATCAAAATACATTTCTATCTGTTGAGTGATATTTTCACAAAATTTTTCGTCTAGGAGCCATTTAGGGTGAAATCTCCATACTGGAGGACCACCTGATAACCCAGGGTCATTATAAGTAAATAATATAGGGGCGTGATCTGAAATTACTATTGTATCATAAAGGCAATAAGTGATATATGACAATTGTTGCTGAAATCAGAAAATAATCAATTCTGGAATAAGACTGGTGTGTTCTAGAAAAGCAAGAGTACTGAATATCCTTAGGATGTAGCTGTCTCCATATTTCTAATAGGTTTAAGTCCTTTATAAAATAATGAAGGGTCTTTCTGGTCTGTCTATGCGACTGATCAATGCCAGAAGAACGATCTATAGTTGGATCCAGTGTACAATTGAAATCCCCACCAATTACATAAAACCAAGAAAGGCTGGATAAAGTCAGAAAGAGGCTATTATAGAATTTGGGGATGTCCTCGTTGGGGCCATAAACGTTGACAAGAATCAGTGATTTAGATAATAAAGTCCCTTAAACAATTAAATATCTACCTGATGGATCTTGTATTGTCTTAGCTACTTGAAATGGAATTGATTTATGGATCATTGTAATAACCCCTCGTGCTTGAGAACTAAATGAAGCTGAAAACACTTGACCAGGCCATCTATTACGTATTCTACATATGTCTTTAGACATTAAATGTGTTTCCTGGAGAAAAACAATTTTAGACTGTAGCTGCTTTATCCTAGTCATTACTTGTTTAATTTTAGTAAAAGTATGCAGCCCCCTACAGTTCCAAGAAATAAACTTAACCCCAATAATCCCTGCCATATCCTATAGTACTAGATAATACAATACTCTCCTTAGTTTTAAAACAGAAAATCACCTGTACCTTGTGACAATAAAAAGTAAAACTAGAAAACAACATAATTAGAAACACTAACCAATAGAAACATTTAAACACTACAACTGTGAATTGCCGAGAACCACCAGCAAATCTACACACTACTTTACTTCTAACTTCCCTTCCTAATGATTTTGTCCCCTTATAAGGAGTATGTCCTATTAATAATCGTCCGTTATTCACATATTCCTGAGTGTAAACAAATTGTTAATATAATGTCTCAAAATTACATATTCGTTAGAAAGGCGTCAACTTCGGATGAAGTTTGAAAGATGCGAGATTGGCCATTGACCGTCACCCAAAGGCGCGCTGGAAAGATGAATCCATACTGTAGGCCCTTAGCTCACAGCTTCCTCTTGACTTCGTCGAATTGTCTCCATTGCTTGTTTACTTCAGCAGAAAGGTCTGGGAAAAACATGACTCAGTGATTTTGGAACAGCACGTCCTTCTTCACTCTGGCCGCATTCATTACACGCTCCTTGTCTCTGTAATCCAATAACTTCGCGATCAACACTCTCGGTGTTGAATTCCTGTCTGTATCAGATCTTTGCATACTTCCAATCCTGTGTGCCCTCTCTATGGCCAGGGGTTTTCCTAGTGGCTCCATGTCTAGCGCCTCAGGTAACCAGCTTTCTAAGAATGTACACACGTCAATGCCCTCGGATTTTTCTGGTAAACCTACGAGTCTCAGGTTGGAGCGTCGACTGCGATTCTCAAGGTCATCTATTTTCCAGGTAAGTGCTGCAACTTTCTTCTCGAGAGCACTGGTCGTGGAAGTGTAGTAATCGAATCTTCGGTCTGTGAAATGCGTTCCTCCGTCTGCGTCAATCTTCCGAAACACTCCGCAACTTGATTTTTAACATCTTGTACAGCTAAAAGGACAGTTTCAAATTGAGAAGTCATGTCAACTCTCACTGAATGTATTGCTTGGAGAATATCACTTGTGTCAGCATGAAAGCCGCTAGCTTGATCTCCATAACTCGGTGATGAGTTTTCTTCGCCATGTGCAACACGCGACCCTTCTTCCAGGCCCTCGGAATCCGAGGCAATATCGGTTGCTTTCTTCGGCTTCTGCTTTATTGGTTTAGGCGACATCACAGACAACATTTACTTTGAAAACAAATCGTGGACGAAATTGAAATGAAACAGGGGTAAAATTCAAGAAAACTTAATACAAATGACAGCGGAACCAACTCGTGCGTCTCGTCAGCACGTCGCCATAACCGGAAGCCCCCTGTTAGTTAGGTTATACACACATTCAGTTAGCTTTGGATCATTGGTTCTGGAGGCCCTGAACTGTCAAGTTTACTGATTTGCTGATACCTTTTCAAGAAACAGTGGATCACTATCCTGAAGAGTTTATCCCAACCCTGAGTTATGTATAGTTATGGTTAGCTTAGTTTAGCTTAGTTTTAAATAAAATAACACTATATTAAATAAAAATTCAGTTTCTTCAAAGAGATTACTGAAGACTGTAACTGCAACATTGCTTCCACGGAACATAGTTATTGCTCTGCTGGTGTCTCAGCTGGTGATATATTTCTTAATTAAGCATCATTGTTTGAGGTATGCCAGTGCTCAACCTTGTTTTCCTTTCTATGGTGACACACAGGACAGCATGGATGAGTGCCAGACAGATAAGAGTGAAGAGGAATGTGGCAGTGAAGAGCCTGAGGATAATGAAGAGGAGAGAGAGCAACAAAATTGGGGGCTCAGAATAGGGGGAGATGGAGAGAAAGAAGCTAGGTCAAGCAACTGGAATTTTGTGGATTTATCCAGATTAGATTGCAAGAGGAATGGTCAAAGTGGTCAAAAACCTAAAGGCATTCATAAAGGTGCCCTTCATCACCAAGTTACACCAGAGAGGCCAAGTGGTAACCCCACTGATATTGTTAAGACCTTGGAAAACATCTTGAGTAACGACACCTCCTTGAATGAAGTCAACCTCAACAACATTGAGAACATATCCCAAGAGGTTTTGGTGAGTTTTGCTGATGCATTAATCTCCAACACTCACGTTGAGGTTTTCAGCCTTGCCAACACCCATGCGGATGACCAAGTAGCTTTTGCTTTGGCCAAAATGCTGAAGAAGAACTGCAGCATCACCAACCTCAATGTTGAGTCCAACTTCATTTCAGGCAAAGGTATCCTGGCTTTGATTGGGTCAGTTCAGTACAACACAACACTGGTGGAGCTCCAATTCCACAACCAGCAGCACATCTGTGGAGGCCAAGTGGAGATGGAAATGGTGAAATTGCTAAGGGACAACACCACCCTGTTGAAACTGGGATACCACTTTGACTTACCTGGCCCAAGGATGAGCGCAACCGGTATTTTAACCCGCAACCAGGACTGCCAGAGGCAAATGCGGCTGCAACAAAGGAGAGAACAAGACAATCTAAAAAGAAGTGAGGAACAATCCAAGACATGGGATACTGTGGACAATATGCAGTCTCTTCAGTTCCACATTTCAACAAACAAAGATGCTACACAAGGGAAGCAGCACTTGGTCTCTTCTCATTTACCAAAACTTGTGAATTATGTGCCAACTAGAAAAATTGCTGAAATGGTCAAACAACAAAAAGAAACAGCAATGGATAGCACTGTTCGAAACCAGACTAATGCAAATAAAGGACTCAAAATTACAGGGGATAAACATTGCAAGAGCATTTTTCAAAATGAAAAACCAGTACCTTCGAGAAGAAAAGATGAAAGAAAGAGTCTGGGAGGCACCCAGGGTTCAACGCGTGATGATCTGTTGGCAGCTATTCGTAAAAGCAGCATTGGTACACTACGAAGGGTAAGACATTTAGCATTTGTCCAGGACATGACGAAGTAGGTAAGCCTTTAAACACAGTGCTCAAATTTGTAATTCACTCAATATTACTGGACAGGAAAGGAACTTCCAAATTAAGGGTTTGGTAAACACCAACCCTGTCAAATCAGGTCTCTTGGGAACTGATTGTAAGACTTTAAGCAATAATTACCTTTTTATACCAAGAATTTAATTATTCGTTCAGTGGTTGTCTTGATTGAGATCATTTAAATTACCATGAAATCATTAGTCAGAGAGTGGAAAACACTTCTATCCACACATAAATAGGGGTTTCTTCTTTTTCTTGCAGGTCACCAATAATCATCGTTCCTGAGGTGTAAGACGGCTCATATAAAATTAATCTGTAAAACAAATAACACAAATTAAAACTTTTGTTCTCTTAACTGGCATTTGATATGAACAACGTTAAGTGTTTTTCGTAACTTTTTTCCACCAACAATATTTTGCTCAATAAGTAGAGTTTGAACCATGGCCGTAACCAGGGTTTGAAAATGAGTGAGGTCTGGGGTATAAAGAATAAAAAAAAATTGTGCTTTAATAACCCCTACAAATACAACTCATTATATACACTAAACACTTTAAAAGAGACAGACATGTAGATGTTTGTCAAAGATGTTTTCTGTTTTGGAGGGATGAACATAGTTAAATCACCATATTTACTGCCTCAAAATGTGTTAATACTTTACTATAAGTTAGGGGTGGATAACTTTATCAGTTGTTTATTTATGCAACAATACATATTACTGTTATAGTTTGACATATAGATGATAATTGTCTAGTGCTCTTATGAATTTTTTTCCCCGGGAGGGTGGAGGCGGGGGTGCTGCGGGAGCAGAAAAAGATTTGTTAGCATTAAAATAATTAAACATGCAGACTCTCCATGTATTCATGCATTGTGGTGTTCCAAGTAAAGATGGAAAAATCTTATTTATGAGTTTAATGTACATGAACGCCACCACAAAGTCAGAATTATGAGTGGGTAACTTTGAACTTTCTTCAAGCCCTGAGTTTCTGAGTTGGGAGTGTGTCAGTGAGAACATATGGTAGATGCAATGGATATAACATCTGTATTGAATGCTAAATTTGTTAAAATGAATGATTTTCCCCCATTTACAACATAACATACACCTATTGTACAGTTATAATTGAATACACAATTCAATTTATAGTAACTTCAGAAATTTAATAAAAACAAAGCAAAAACACCCAAATTCATTCATCATTGTTTGAAACAATCGTTTAACCAAAGTGACTTGAACACATCTGACATTGCAATTATGATTTCCCAAATCATAAATACGAACTTCCCATGAGGACTTGAACACACCATTAGTATAGTTTAAAGACCCCATGAAACCAAAGTTATTTATTAGCTTTGAAGCATCTGTATGCTAGTATACTTCTAGATATTGAGGAAAAATTACTTTTAGCAGATATATGTGCTTCATGTGTTCTCTTCTGTGAAACCAATAGTAATAAATGAATTACATAACAGAAATAATAATAAAAAAAATGATGATGATAAAACATACAACAAAAAAAAAATCACTGAAATCTATTAAATATAAATAATTTTAACAACAAGAATTTATTATTTATAATATTTACAATTTAAAATAGCTACGCAGATCCCATTTAAAGACTAAAGGAGCAGTCACATCACAAAAAAAAAAAAACTAAATGTGGCAGCACCTTAATGGTTGAATATACTGCAGATACAGTTAAAAATATTTTTTAAAATTACCATTTACTTATTCTATATATTATTACAACACATTCTATCAAGTCATAGCAACTACAGCTAAGTAGCAACTCTTACAAGTTAATGTATGCATAAGAAAAAATATTTTCCTACTAGAATGCAGTTGCTGTCCCATTCACAGTCTTTTTAGTGGGTTGTATTATAAGCTAACAGCCATTAAAGTAAAATAAAAAGTTACAACCACTTCAATATCTCCCCATCTAACTCCCCGTTTCATCTTATATGTGACCCTGGACCACAAAACCAATCATAAGGGTAAATTTCTCAAAATTGAGATTTATACATCTGAAAGCTGAATAAATAAGTTTGTTTGTTAGGATAGGACAATATTTGGGCGATACACAACTATTTGAAAATCTGTAATCTGAGGGTGCAAAAAAAATCTAAATAGAGAAAATCGCCTTTAAAGTTGTCCAAATGAAGTTCTTAGCAATGCATATTACTAATCAAAAATTAAGTTAATATATTTACAGTAGGAAATTTACAAAATATCTTCACGTAACATGATCTTTACATAATATCCTAATGATTTTTGGCATAAAAGAAAAATCAATAATTTTGACCCATATAATGTATTTTTGGCTATTGCTACAAATATACCCCATCGACTTAAGACTGGTTTTGTGCTCCAGGGTCACATGTGTCAATACAGGAAAGAAAAGTGTCAATCTATTTCATGGGGTCAATTAAAGCTGGAGTAAGACTTTCACTCTTGAGGAAAAATCAAACAAAAGTCATGGTTTTAAGCAATCAAACATGTTTTTAAAAGATCAATGGAAGTAGACAAATGCCTCTTGAACAATCATGAAAAATATCCATATATGCACAAATGCTTTTCCATAAAGTTACATGTAGGTAAAACAGCACTTTCACAGCTAAAATTTGTCCTCCAAGTGTTAAAACAGCATTCAAAACAACCCATGCCAACTTCCAAAGATTCAGACCTGATACACATGCAAATCTAAGCAGGTTTCACTCAGAAACACACAAATTCTACCTACCGCACCACCTGGGAGGACCTGAAGGAAAACCACATATATTGATCAAATATAAAATGCTAATACTGTATATGCACCCAACTACTGTATAAAATCCTCTGAGGAATGTGTTACAGCCACATTATTTTAATGTCATAAAAAGGATATACTGGCTTTGCTGCATCGGGACAGAAAATTACTAGTTAGGGGAAGTTTTGGGCAGTTTTTTCTGACAGTGAATGGTTGATGGACTGACATGTGAATATGATGATGCCACAACTGGCAGGTGTTCAGTGCAGAGAGTCTGACAGCGATCAGTCTCACCTTGTCTCCTCAGCTCATTCTTCACAGCCTCTACACCGCCCTTCTTCTCAATGAAGTCGTAGATGACCTTAGACGTCTCCTTATCTTTGAGCTGGGCCTCAGAGATGCCACACATGTCAAACAGGTTCTTCAGCTCTGGGTCCAAATTATTCAACTGCAAAATAAAAACGGTAAAGTCGTGAGACATTTCTTTTTTTCCTTATATAGAATAGTTACATATTTAACAATACAGAAGTTCTGAAATTCAACAGAAATGTTTATTAGGACTGTTTCATACATGAAATACAAGTGCTTGCAAGGCAGCAAAAGAACAGTGATAAAGTTTTAAGTAGAACTAGAATTTTTAGATTTGCTGAAAAAAAAAAAAAAACGTGTTGTTTTTGCCCGTGCCAAATAACTTGAATTATCATTCATTCCCATAGCAAAAACTTGCAGATAAGTGTCCAAAATGTTTTATTTAGGGTTAGGGGGTTGTTTGGATCACCAACCTTAAGTATGAGCAATAGTAATAGTGATGCTTGCCTTAGTAAGCACAACTAAATATAGATAGAAGAAAGACAGAGAGAGAGATATTAATGATAATGTGTCAAAACGATGAGTAAACGGATGCAAAATTAAAAGGCCCAATCACATTCCAGTATGCAAACAGATGTAAGACAGCAAATCGCGACTCAGTATGCAAATATCATTATCACTACTGGTTAGTTTTTGAATGCTGAAGTGCAAGTTAAAGGGACAGTTCACCCAAGAGATATTTTGAAGAATGTTGGTGACCGAACAGTTGACGGTAGCCATTGACTTCCATAGTATTTTTTTCCATACCATGGAAATCAATGGCTACCGTCAACGGTTTGTTTACCAACATTCTTCAAAATATCTTCTTTTGTGCTCAAAAAAAAAAAGAAAAAAAGAAGAAGAAAAAAAAAAGATAAAGAAAGCTCATACAGGTTTGGAACAAAACCTTGGGTAGAGTAAATGACAATTTTCATTTTTGGGTAAACTGTCCCTTGGTTTTCAAACTTTAATCTTACCTTTAAAGCTATAATGTTTAGAAAAACTAAAAACAGAACATTAAGGCTAAAATAAATTAAATAAATGAATAGACATATTTATTAAAGATAACCTTTTTGGGTGCAAGTTAATGGGAATTTAATTCTTAAATTGAAATGTATAATGCTTATAGAAATTAAAATTAAATTAAGGTTAAAAATATATATATATATTTTTTACTTATTTTAAGTCAATAACTAAAAACTTAACTAAAAGTAAAAAAAAAAGTAAATTAAATGAATGAAATGGTAAATAAGTGCAAATTAATGGGGATTTTCAAACTATAATATTAAATTTACTTTAAAAGTATGTTTATAGAAACTAAAAAACTTCTTTACAATAAATAAACAATTCTTAAAATAACATCTTCAAATGCCAGTTAATGGGGATTTTTCATTTTAAAATAAGATCATGATGATTAAAATCAATGCAGTTCTGCCTTGCAAGCACTACATGTCATTTTCCCAGTGTTCATGCTGTTCTCAAATGTAGCACAATCCTGCCACCTTGTGGACACACTGCTAATGCTAATCATCACCGCTAAAACCCTCCATTATGTCATGCTCAACATTCCAGCTGCATGCATAATGCAAACCTTAAAATGAGGCTTCTTCAGAGCATTTACATATTTTTCCAGTTAGTTAAGAGCAACAGCATCTCATTTTATTGCACCAGTAGCCTGAATTTCTAATTGCTTCATAAAAAGGCAGCAGTTTGCGATATCTCCAGTATTTCCATAAACAGTTTAGCATAAAATGATTTAAAATATACACAGTGCAAATATACAGATAGCACACTGCTGTGCACACATGCAATCTAGGTAGCGTCGTGGGCGACAGACTGCATATTCAAGCGTCAGATGCTTCAGCCTGCATGAACACAAGGCTATTGAGGCATGTCATCATGCCATTACTACACAGGTCAGCATTGTTTTCCTATGAGAGATTCTTCAATATGTATGTGAGAGCGAGTATGACAGTGAGAGCGTGTGAGTGTGTTGGTGGGATTACAGAGCAAGTCATTGTTGTGTACTTACATCGAAGCCTGTGTTCGGATCCCATCCTACATGACCGATGTGCCTGGAAAATATTGCGTTAAGCACAGTCAGACTGGCATCAACAACAAATACAACACGAGGAAAGGGAATTAACTTAACCCTTGCGCTGTGCTGAAAATCCTTCCTAAATTTGTATTTTGTTTGTAAAATTGTTTGCGAATCTTCCATTATGTTATATTATTAACTAATCTAGCATTCAGTTTTTTTTTTTTAATCAACTTTTCTTTCAATGAGCACAGGTTTGGTATTTCTCTAGGAACTGACGGGCTGTAGGTCACACTGATCAGAGCATCTGCACCACAGTAATACAGTAATAAAGCTAGTAATAAAAATTAATGCTACTGACATTTAAAAAACAAACAAATACAATACATTCAATTAATAACAAACAAAATGCACTAAAATTTGAATGAAAACAGAAAATACTCAAATAAAATTGCATTTATTAACAATATTTAAAATACATCTCAATAATACTAAATTAACACAGGCATAAGCTCAGATCAATGAGGCGTAAGATCAATCATTTCCAAAAAGAAATACAAAATCTTAATGAATGTGTTAATGAAAAGAAAACTATCTGACAAAGATTTAAATATTTAGTAATACTATTGAAATACTACGACTACTAATAATAATGCTAAATGACATTCATGCAAATTTGTATTCATTTCTTTAAACAAGTAAATATTTTTAAAATTGATAACAGGTTCAAGTTTAAGGTAATGTGGATTTCAAACTTTAATCTTACATTTCTTTAAAAGCAGAATGTTTACAGAAACAAAAAAATTATTTCTTAGGTTAAAAAAAAGTTAATTACATTTTCAAGTGTAATTTAATGTGGATTTTAAATTAATGTGGATTTTTTTTAACTTTAATCTCACATTTCTCTAAAAGGTACAAGTTTTATAGAAACTAATATAGCACATTAAACAGATACATATTTAAATAAGAACTTTTGAAGCTAATAATAATTTAGTTAGTTAGTTAATAGGATTTTCAAATTTTAGGCTAAAAATTATTTTCGGGTATACGGTTTATGGAAACTAAAATCAGCACCAACTCTATAGAAAATAAATAAATAAATAATGTCTTTTAAGATACGTTTTTAAATTTGGGGGGAAAAAATCCTAAAAAGTTGTCCAATTCGTTAACATTAACTAGCTTTTTTCGTGTAAAAGGTTAAAAACATAAAATCGAAACTACATATTATAAGTTCCAGTGACTGTTTTTGAGCATACGGACAGAAAAAGACATGAGAATAAAAATAAAGCCTCATTAGAAACAAAAAAAAACCCCAAAAGCAGCATGACAGCATTTTAATATGCATTACTGATGTCACTTCCTGCCAACACAGGAAGTACTGAAACTGCTATACTTAAAGACTCACTGGAAGTTGCTTGGTGTCCCAATGTCAGCCTTTGTCAACTTCCGACTGCCCTTGCCCTTCTTTTTCTTCTTGTTAAGGCCACTGTGCACCATGTTATTCTTATGGGACACATTAAGTTTGTTGTTTATCTCGGGATTCTTGATGTCCACCGTTGCCATCAGGAGAGTGGGTCCTGGGCACATGACAAAACTGATTAGCTGCTGCCTGAGAATCACCAACCCGCTGCACACATTTCCCTGTGAGAGTGACAGGAGTCGTCTCTGGCCGAGCTCTTTCAACAACAGCTGATTCTGTCCAGCGTAAGCAAAGAGGGGGCGGCCCAATGAATGAATCACACACATTCCTGGAAGTTCATGTATTCAAAGAGCAGATGGTGTGGTAAAAATATAATAATAATAAGTCAAAAAAATGTGTATCAGTAGTACAATAAAAATTGCTCTGATAAATAAATAAACAAAACAAATAAATTCTTCATTTCAACTATATTTCATAAGATTTGTTTCATTCAAATAAACATGACCGCATTACGCAAATATATCATTAACTACACAAACAAAAGCGAAACACTGAATCATGACACATATACCATATCGTCATGATTCTCATCGCAGCAACATGTGGGTGATAAAAAGCAGCTTTCATAGAAAGGAACGCTGCTGGAACAACAGGCTGTGTGTCAAACTTTCCCCAAAACCACAAGCATTAGCTAGCAGTCGCTTTCAAGACAGCCGGAGAGTTCAATCTTCACCACAGAGCCATGGACGACATCTATATGATGCTGTTCAAAAATAACAACTTATGACATAATAACAATAAATTAATCACCATAACACCTTTAAATTGCTGTGTTCAGAATGGAAAAATAACGTAATGAATTTGTTATTATTCACTTCTTACCTAACAACAATTCACTCACAAGTTGATATTTTATGTGCTAAATGACATTCATGCAAATTTGTATTCATTTCTTTAAACAAGTAAATATTTTTAAAATTGATAACAGGTTCAAGTTTAAGGTAATGTGGATTTCAAACTTTAATCTTACATTTCTTTAAAAGCAGAATGTTTACAGAAACAAAAAAATTATTTCTTAGGTTAAAAAAAGTTAATTACATTTTCAAGTGTAATTTAATGTGGATTTTTTTTTTTACTTTAATCTCACATTTCTCTAAAAGGTACAAGTTTTATAGAAACTAATATAGCACATTAAACAGATACCTATTTAAATAAGAACTTTTGAAGCTAATAATAATTTAGTTAGTTAGTTAATAGGATTTTCAAATTTTAGGCTAAAAATTATTTTCGGGTATACGGTTTATAGAAACTAAAATCAGCACCAACTCTATAGATCACAAGTTGATATTTTATGAATATTTTTATTTTCAAATGTATAAATGCATATAGTTATTATTGTTAAATAATAACTGCGCATAAAAACGTACACAAAATGCATAAGTACTATTATTAAATAATAAAAATAAATGAGGCTTATATTAAAATATAATGGCATACATAGCTTTATTATTATTATTATTATACAATTTTTGCAAAGGCATTAATAATAATAATTCTGTTCATGTATCAAAATGTATAAGTAAAATACATAAATATAATTATTGTTATCATTATGTTTGACATTATATTTAAGTTTTTCTTAATCCGTTTATGTATAAAAAAATGTTTAAACATCATAAACATTATTATAATTGCTAAATTATAATAATAATAACAATAGTTTATGTAGTCTAATAACTCTTTGTGCAAGCTTGAGATCTACAACAAAAAACAAAAAAAAGTCATTATATTGATGATTTTTTATGGAATCAAAAAACTGCCCCAAATTATTGTTAAAAAATAAATCTTCATTTAAAACGGCTTATCCCTTTCAAAAATGTCCAACTGTATCTCAAAAGCTACAATCCAAAACACTAGAGACCACACCATGTCTAAAACTGAGCAATAATAATAATTCTCCATACGGACAGAAAAAGACATGAGAATAAAAATAAAGCCTCATTAGAAACAAAAAAAAACCCCAAAAGCAGCATGACAGCATTTTAATATGCATTACTGATGTCACTTCCTGCCAACACAGGAAGTACTGAAACTGCTATACTTAAAGACTCACTGGAAGTTGCTTGGTGTCCCAATGTCAGCCTTTGTCAACTTCCGACTGCCCTTGCCCTTCTTTTTCTTCTTGTTAAGGCCACTGTGCACCATGTTATTCTTATGGGACACATTAAGTTTGTTGTTTATCTCGGGATTCTTGATGTCCACCGTTGCCATCAGGAGAGTGGGTCCTGGGCACATGACAAAACTGATTAGCTGCTGCCTGAGAATCACCAACCCACTGCACACATTTCCCTGCGAGAGTGACAGGAGTCGTCTCTGGCCGAGCTCTTTCAACAACAGCTGATTCTGTCCAGCGTAAGCAAAGAGGGGGCGGCCCAATGAATGAATCACACACATTCCTGGAAGTTCATGTATTCAAAGAGCAGATGGTGTGGTAAAAATATAATAATAATAGTCAAAAAAATGTGTATCAGTAGTACAATAAAAATTGCTCTGATAAATAAATAAACAAAACAAATAAATTCTTCATTTCAACTATATTTCATAAGATTTGTTTCATTCAAATAAACATGACCGCATTACGCAAATATATCATTAACTACACAAACAAAAGCGAAACACTGAATCATGACACATATACCATATCGTCATGATTCTCATCGCAGCAACATGTGGGTGATAAAAAGCAGCTTTCATAGAAAGGAACGCTGCTGGAACAACAGGCTGTGTGTCAAACTTTCCCCAAAACCACAAGCATTAGCTAGCAGTCGCTTTCAAGACAGCCGGAGAGTTCAATCTTCACCACAGAGCCATGGACGACATCTATATGATGCTGTTCAAAAATAACAACTTATGACATAATAACAATCAATTAATCACCATAACACCTTTAAATTGCTGTGTTCAGAATGGAAAAATAACGTAATGAATTTGTTATTATTCACTTCTTACCGAACAGCAATTCACTCACAAGTTGATATTTTATTAATATTTTTATTTTCAAATGTATAAATGCATATAGTTATTATTGTTAAATAATAATAACTGCGCATAAAAACGTACACAAAATGCATAAGTACTATTATTAAATAATAAAAATAAATGAGGCTTATATTAAAATATAATGGCATACATAGCTTTATTATTATTATTATTATACAATTTTTGCAAAGGCATTAATAATAATAATTCTGTTCATGTATCAAAATGTATAAGTAAAATGCATAAATATAATTATTGTTATCATTAGGTTTGACATTATATTTAAGTTTTTCTTAATCCGTTTATGTATAAAAAAAATGTTTAAACATCAAACATTATTATAATTGCTAAATTATAATAATAATAACAATAGTTTATGTAGTCTAATAACTCTTTGTGCAAGCTTGAGATCTACAACAAAAAACAAAAAAAAGTCATTATATTGATGATTTTTTATGGAATCAAAAAACTGCCCCAAATTATTGTTAAAAAATAAATCTTCATTTAAAACGGCTTATCCCTTTCAAAAATGTCCAACTGTATCTCAAAAGCTACAATCCAAAACACTAGAGACCACACCATGTCTAAAACTGAGCAATAATAATAATTCTCCTGATGTAGACTAAAAATGTAAATACATTTAAAATAAAACAAAATGAAATAACCCTCGACAGAACTTTAAAATGTTCATCTTCACACTACAAACTCAAGTTACAAGAAACTTCTGAAAATACCCAAGCGACGCTTTACTCACATCCACGACCCAGTTTAGGAGCACACGCTCACTTCTTCACTAGAATCGTGAGGAGTCACAGCAGAGCTGCTAAACCCCTACCTTGGGCGAGAGCCATGAGCTTCCTATGACCTCTACCGTGACCCAGAGCACCTCCCGAGAGGACGTCCTCTGTAGAGATGGAGGGTCTGTCGCTGCTGAATTTCAGCAGCGTATTAAGACAAGGCTGAGGCAAAGGTGCGTTCAGTTCATCCCCTGACAACACCAAGCATCGCAGGGGCACCAAGCTCCCATCTGGCCTCGAAACGCTCTCTAAAAACTCCTCGGATGGGGCGGACAGGAAGGTCGTGCAGAACATCATCTCATCTGTGGCCCAGCATTAAGGCGTGAAGCTATGGTAGCTAGCTAATTTCACCGCAGCAGGAGGCTAGCGAGCCAAGCAGCCTCAAAGCTGAGATGCTCTTTAAACCAATTGTGAATGTTTTGTGATCTGGCCGCCCACCAAACCAATCCCTCTCATGCTAGTCAAATCCTGAAAAATTACGAATGCGGAATATTACGAGCTTTCATAGAAAGGAACGCTGCTGGAACAACAGGCTGTGTGTCAAACTTTCCCCAAAACCACAAGCATTAGCTAGCAGTCGCTTTCAAGACAGCCGGAGAGTTCAATCTTCACCACAGAGCCATGGACGACATCTATATGATGCTGTTCAAAAATAACAACTTATGACATAATAACAATCAATTAATCACCATAACACCTTTAAATTGCTGTGTTCAGAATGGAAAAATAACGTAATGAATTTGTTATTATTCACTTCTTACCGAACAGCAATTCACTCACAAGTTGATATTTTATTAATATTTTTATTTTCAAATGTATAAATGCATATAGTTATTATTGTTAAATAATAATAACTGCGCATAAAAACGTACACAAAATGCATAAGTACTATTATTAAATAATAATAATAAATGAGGATTATATTAAAATATAATGGCATACATAGCTTTATTATTATTATTATACAATTTTTGCAAAGGCATTAATAATAATAATTCTGTTCATGTATCAAAATGTATAAGTAAAATGCATAAATATAATTATTGTTATCATTAGGTTTGACATTATATTTAAGTTTTTCTTAATCCGTTTATGTATAAAAAAAATGTTTAAACATCAAACATTATTATAATTGCTAAATTATAATAATAATAACAATAGTTTATGTAGTCTAATAACTCTTTGTGCAAGCTTGAGATCTACAAAAAAAAAAAAAAGTCATTATATTGATGATTTTTTATGGAATCAAAAAACTGCCCCAAATTATTGTTAAAAAATAAATCTTCATTTAAAACGGCTTATCCCTTTCAAAGATGTCCAACTGTATCTCAAAAGCTACAATCCAAAACACTAGAGACCACACCATGTCTAAAACTGAGCAATAATAATAATTCTCTTGATGTAGACTAAAAATGTAAATACATTTAAAATAAAACAAAATGAAATAACCCTCGACAGAACTTTAAAATGTTCATCTTCACACTACAAACTCAAGTTACAAGAAACTTCTGAAAATACCCAAGCGACGCTTTACTCACATCCACGACCCAGTTTAGGAGCACACGCTCACTTCTTCACTAGAATCGTGAGGAGTCACAGCAGAGCTGCTAAACCCCTACCTTGGGCGAGAGCCATGAGCTTCCTATGACCTCTACCGTGACCCAGAGCACCTCCCGAGAGGACGTCCTCTGTAGAGATGGAGGGTCTGTCGCTGCTGAATTTCAGCAGCGTATTAAGACAAGGCTGAGGCAAAGGTGCGTTCAGTTCATCCCCTGACAACACCAAGCATCGCAGGGGCACCAAGCTCCCATCTGGCCTCGAAACGCTCTCTAAAAACTCCTCGGATGGGGCGGACAGGAAGGTCGTGCAGAACATCATCTCATCTGTGGCCCAGCATTAAGGCGTGAAGCTATGGTAGCTAGCTAATTTCACCGCAGCAGGAGGCTAGCGAGCCAAGCAGCCTCAAAGCTGAGATGCTCTTTAAACCAATTGTGAATGTTTTGTGATCTGGCCGCCCACCAAACCAATCCCTCTCATGCTAGTCAAATCCTGAAAAATTACGAATGCGGAATATTACGTAAGGAACTGCTAATCCAGTTTAATCTCTGAAATTTGCTGTAAGCATTACAAGTCTTCAACTGCAGGCAAAGCCACACACTTTTTATAATACACAAGTGTGTTTTTGACTTCGTTTGACATGGTTCAGTGGAGAATGCCAGCGAATCTGTGATTAGCTTTCTCTACTCATCAACACTGAACTGAAAACACCGTTATATCAGAGATAAAGCAGCCACACTGAGCATGTTCAGTCAGATATCAATCACCAATCTAGTTACACAATGAGGAAGCGGAAGGGAAGGAAATGTGCTGGAGAAAGATTACATTAGCTAATCCAGTTTAATCTCTGAAATTTGCTGTAAGCATTACAAGTCTTCAACTGCAGACAAAGCCACACACTTTTTATAATACACAAGTGTGTTTTTGACTTCGTTTGACATGGTTCAGTGGAGAATGCCAGCGAATCTGTGATTAGCTTTCTCTACTCATCAACGCTGAACTGAAAACATCGTTATATCAGAGATAAAGCAGCCACACTGAGCATGTTCAGTCAGATATCAATCACCAATCTAGTTACACAATGAGGAAGCGGAAGGGAAGGGAAGGAAATGTGCTGGAGAAAGATTACATTTGCTTTTTTTCTGCAGGTGGACACCTTACACAACACAAATACATTCTGTTCTTTGAGATCGGAACGATGTGTCGCATAAATCTGATTTGAACAACGTCATTCTTCATAGTGTTGTCAAGCAGGGCACAATATGGTTGGATCAACAGCTATAAATTGTGAATGTGAATTTGAAATGTGAACAGATTGGAGGGAGAGAAAAAAAAAATGGAACTGGCCTCCAGAGCTGCCGTAACAAATCTAGGACAAATATGTTGATTTAACGTCACGGATAATAACATTTCCGACTGGAAATGATTATGACTGGCTGGTAACGCAAAACAAAAAATAGGCTGAATCCCTTGGAAAGTGTAAATACTGTGGTGTTATCAAAACATTGCTCTGTTTGTTTTAGCCAACAACACTGGCTGAACCAATAGTGTGAGTTAGGGGGCGGGACTATGTTTGGTCAACCAATGGCTGACGCAGGGAGTGTTCAGGATTATTTTCGCACTTCGGTTTGATGTTTATGGCGCCAAAAATTACAATTCACATTTAATTACAAGAAATCAAACTTATAATAGCAATTTAAATGTACAGTCTTTTTCTTTCAGGAAAATTAACCAAAACATTTCATGGCACAAGGGTGTACACAATTTTAATTATACTTAATTTATTTTTAATGTATTTTTTAATACATAATACATAAATTAAATTATTTTAAATCATATAAATAAAAATTATGCATTTACAATTATTTTTACAATAAAAAATATAAATATAAAAATGATATATAAATCTATTTATAAAATCATATAATTAAAAACATCACTACATTATATTTTTTTTTTAATGCAAGCATCTGACTAGCAATAGTAAGTCTGGTTCAGTGTTTTGTAAAATAAAATACAATAAAAATAACAGTATAATAATAATAATTATATATATATATATAAAATAAAAGATGAGCCCTCAAATATCCCATGCCCCAAATTATTGCTTCAATAGGAAAAACAAAACAAAAAAAAACACTTAATTTGGTTTGATATTTTCTGTAGCATTCTTTTTTTAAATAAAGTATAATAAAATAAAAATAAATAGGACTGTAAGTAGCATCACACATATCCTGTTACAGGCTACTGACATGGAGCAAACAAGATTTGGTAACTAGCAACATTGCTTCTAAGGGATGTCAAACCAGCGCCGTAACCCTGATAAAGATCTATGAGAAATTCTAAGCAAGTAAAACTAAGTGAGGAAACGTGGTCTCTTTGATGTAATTGAATTGGCGAGAGCCGCAGTAGTGCAGTGGAATGGAATGGTCCATGTGGCATACATATGGCTCCCAGCGCACAGATTGACCTCAGGCTTCCAGTCAGGGGTTGAACGCTACTCTCATCTAGGTCACGTACAATGCGGATGTGTGTTTGTGTGAATCACGCTCATGCCTGACGACGCTCACACAAGAATAGGTTTTGATTTCTGTGGAAGATACATTATGTGTATGTGTATTTCAGCATAGTTCTGTCAAAAAGGGGATTTAAAAAAACTAAAACAAAACAACAGCAGCAAACACAAACTGATTAGCTCTTACAACATTAGGAGTAAACTCATGAGTGAATGCAAGTACCAGGACACATACCATTTGGTGGGTCACGCCTTTTCTCTGCAAAAACAAAATTAACATTGTTAAAATGTGGAGGCCGAGTTAAGACTAGTGAGGTCAGTAACAGAGAGGAAAAGAGCCAGTAGGTCACCCAAAGGAGAAGGGAATGGTTAAATTACGTTAGTTAGAAAGGTTAGGGAAGGAGATGGTAAAAAGAGGTGCCCTGAGCTCTGCACCCTTTCGCAATACACTCCTTTTTTTTAAATCGACTGGCAGGTTTATCATCACATTTTTAGCACCATCATTTGTGGTTCATTCATATGCAAACTTATAATATTCTTATAACCTTGATCTTAAAGGTGAAGTGTTTATCTATTCTTCTACTGTGAAAATGTTAAAAGACTTGCTCCTTTTTTATCTCAATGACAGTTGCTCAGCAATTTCATATTTTTAAAAGCTCTCAAACACATTTTATCTCTATTTTAAAAGATTTTTTAGCAACGTTATGCGTGTTTGCACTGTACTTTTGATCAATTTGATGCATCCTTGCTGAAAAAATTTATTAAATTAAAAATAATAATAATACATGTGTGAATAAATAAACTACTCACTGGCAGAAGCATTTACTGTAATATACTGAAATATTTGCAGTATTTTCCAATAACACGATAGAATAAAAATCACAATATAATTTTAATCCATTTTAAATTCCATCTGGTGTCACTAATAACAACATGTTCCACACTTCACCTTTAACACCCAGAAGATAACTGAATGATTCACTGTATGCAAATACAATCAAACTGCATAAGAAGTGATCCAACATGTTTGTTCGGAATTCGACCACATTAAACGTAAAAATAAAGCTGAATTTTTAGCATCATTACTACATGATCACTTGATCCTTCAGAAATCATTCTAATATGCTGATTTGGTGCTCAAGTAATTCTTATCATCAATGTTGAAAACAGCTTTGCTGCTTCATGTTTTTGAGAAAACGGTGATAAATTTGTTTTTTCAGGATTCTTTGAACAAAAAAATTCAAAAGATTTTTTAGCAACGTTATGCGTGTTTGCACTGTACTTTTGATCAATTTGATGCATCCTTGCTGAAAAAATTTATTAAATTAAAAATAATAATAATACATGTGTGTGAATAAATAAACTACTCACTGGCAGAAGCATTTACTGTAATATACTGAAATATTTACAGTATTTTCCAATAACACGATAGAATAAAAATCACAATATAATTTTAATCCATTTTAAATTCCATCTGGTGTCACTAATAACAACATGTTCCACACTTCACCTTTAACACCCAGAAGATAACTGAATGATTCACTGTATGCAAATACAATCAAACTGCACAAGAAGTGATCCAACATGTTTGTTCGGAATTCGACCACATTAATTCAACCGTAACGTTATGAAGCGATGAGAATACTTTTTGTACGCGCACAAAACAAAAATAATGACTTTATTCAACAATTCGTCTCTTTGCCTCTCCGCATCACCGTAGTGCCATTTTGGAGAATATCCACTGAACGCAAGCAGCGTACGCTCTTCAGTGTCAGCAGCGCTGCACGGATGCGCTGTTTTCGTTCAAACCAAACGTTTCAAATGCTTCATAACGTTACGGTTGAACCACTGATGGCAGATGGACTATTCTGGCGGTAAAGTGATTAGTGACAACATTTTCATTTTAGGGTGGAGTATCCCTTTAATAAATGAGCGTGTTGACGGAAAAGTTCACCCAAAAATTAAAAACTCATCCGCATATTATTACAAACCCATATGGCTTGCTTTCTACTGTGGAACACAAAAGGAGATTTAAATAATGTGCTAGTCACTCTTTTCCATGAAATTACAATGATGACTGGAGCTTTCAAGCTTAAAAAAAAAAACTAAAATTTAGGTCTTCATTCACTGAATCAGTTGAGTTGAATCCAAAAACTGGAATGTCTGATTCTCCGATGAAACATCACTATTCTCATGCCAAGAGGAGCTGGACTGTATGTTCAGATTTTAACTAATAACAATATAAATTTTGGTCTGTTCCTCGCACAAAACTATAATATGATTTTACAAAATCACAAGTCATACAAGCCTTTTTTCTGGTCATTTTAAAGCTTAATAACTTTTAAAAAAATAAATAATTTGTTGGTTTATTTGTTATTACGTTTGTTTTTTGAATTTATTTCCAAATCAGAATCAAATGCTTTATTCATGGTAAAATAAACAGCGAGTTTATTTATCTTTGTACTCAGTCAACTGATGGATTTTACTGGTACTGATAGCTAAGCTGGACCATACAACTGATAGTTTTTAAAATAGATACTGAATGAAAACTGAAACAGTGTTGAACTTTATTACAAAAAAAAAACAAACAGTATTTAACTACACATTTAAAATGGAATAACAAATATTAAAATTAAATAATTGTACATTGATCAATTTTAGTTAATGTAAACTTCAGTCAATGAGACTTTAAAATGTTTAAATCTATTAGTAAATGTTGAAATTAATACACTCTAACAAGTAACAATAATTCCAAAAACTATCGGTATGGACTTTTGCAGAAACCTGATAGTTCCAGTAATCAACTATCGGTGCCGATTAATCGGCATAAGCGATCAATCAGTCGACCTCTAGTTTGAACACTTATTTATTGCTATATGCATGCATTTTTTTTCTGTATTTACAGCTATATCAGAATCAAAATAAGAATAAATTAAATTACACAATATACAATTGTGTGCAGAAAGAAGAAAGTCATACACATTATGTACTAACTGAGCCTGGTTTCTCCCAAGGTTTTTTCTCCATTCTGTCACCGATGGAGTTTTGGTTCCTTGCCGCTGTCGCCTCTGGCTTGCTTAGTTGGGGACACTTCATTTCCGGCGATATCGTTGACATAATTGCAAAGATATTATTTAAACTGAGCTGGATGTTGACATCACTGAATTCAATGATGAACTGTCTTTAACTGAAAAATGAGTGTTTACTATTGTCACTTTGCATTATTGACACTATTTTCCTAATTAATGCTGTTCAGTTGCTTTGACACAATCTGTATTGTTAAAAGCACTATATAAATAAAGGTGACTTGACTTGACTTTTCTGGGCCTTGACAGTGTCATTTACTTGGCAGTCAATGGGACAGTCACAAGCCTCCCGGTTTTCATCCAAAATATCTTAAATTGTGTTCCGAAGACGAACAAAGCTTTTACGGGTTTGGAACGACATGGCGGTAAAGTGATTAGTGACAACATTTTCATTTTAGGGTGGAGTATCCCTTTAATAAATGAGCGTGTTGACGGAAAAGTTCACCCAAAAATTAAAAACTCATCCGCATATTATTACAAACCCATATGGCTTGCTTTCTACTGTGGAACACAAAAGGAGATTTAAATAATGTGCTAGTCACTCTTTTCCATGAAATTACAATGATGACTGGAGCTTTCAAGCTTAAAAAAAAAAACTAAAATTTAGGTCTTCATTCACTGAATCAGTTGAGTTGAATCCAAAAACTGGAATGTCTGATTCTCCGATGAAACATCACTATTCTCATGCCAAGAGGAGCTGGACTGTATGTTCAGATTTTAACTAATAACAATATAAATTTTGGTCTGTTCCTCGCACAAAACTATAATATGATTTTACAAAATCACAAGTCATACAAGCCTTTTTTCTGGTCATTTTAAAGCTTAATAACTTTTAAAAAAATAAATAATTTGTTGGTTTATTTGTTATTACGTTTGTTTTTTGAATTTATTTCCAAATCAGAATCAAATGCTTTATTCATGGTAAAATAAACAGCGAGTTTATTTATCTTTGTACTCAGTCGACTGATGGATTTTACTGGTACTGATAGCTAAGCTGGACCATACAACTGATAGTTTTTAAAATAGATACTGAATGAAAACTGAAACAGTGTTGAACTGTATTACAAAAAAAACAAACAGTATTTAACTACACATTTAAAATGGAATAACAAATATTAAAATTAAATAATTGTACATTGATCAATTTTAGTTAATGTAAACTTCAGTCAATGAGACTTTAAAATGTTTAAATCTATTAGTAAATGTTGAAATTAATACACTCTAACAAGTAACAATAATTCCAAAAACTATCGGTATGGACTTTTGCAGAAACCTGATAGTTCCAGTAATCAACTATCGGTGCCGATTAATCGGCATAAGCGATCAATCAGTCGACCTCTAGTTTGAACACTTATTTATTGCTATATGCATGCATTTTTTTTCTGTATTTACAGCTATATCAGAATCAAAATAAGAATAAATTAAATTACACAATATACAATTGTGTGCAGAAAGAAGAAAGTCATACACATTATGTACTATGGTATGTAATGAGGATGAGTAAATAATTATAATTCTCATTTTTAGGTGAACTATTTTGAAAAACAGATTTGGGAGAAAGAAATATGCGTTTTAGACACTAATAAGGTTTTAGACATACTTTTGATTACTAAATGTAAAGCATATTAGTTGGGAGTGAGAGTTCACCCAAAAATAAAACTGAATTGAGGCTGAAAAAGAAAAAGACATGGATTGGACTTGGAACAACATATGGGTGAGTAAATGTCATAATTTTAATTTTTGGTGAACAATTGTCCCATCAAAGGAAAGGAAAGAAATTAAAACCAGCACATTTACCAGTTTTCCTCTGTCGTCTGTTGAGCAGTTCGTTGAGTGCACTCCGAAATCGTTTAGCTTCCTCTTCACTGGCAAAGTTGAGGCCCATCTGACAAGACTAAAGAGCAACACACACCATATGACCAAAAAAGCCAGATCGCATCCTCACTAATGCTAAAAGCAGCTTTACAAGAAAGACAAGAAAGCGACTAGCCAAACAAACTTTTCCACAGAACATCTCTGGCTAGTTTCCTCTGTTTGCTTTCTTGCTAATGGTCAACAACGTGAAATATATATATAAAAAAACTCACATCTCCGGCAAAGGTAATGAAGTAGGCTCTCGAACAAATGACAATGAAATTATTGTAGAGCTCCTGCTCAAACTTTGCTTTTCCATCCTGCAAAAATGAGAAACAAGATATTTTACATATCACATGCACGAACTGCTAAGTCTCTGATCTGATATCTTTGCTGTTTATTTGCTCTCAGAGAGCTCACCTTGATATCAAAGACACGGATAAAATAAGACCTCTGAGGGTTGTCTTTCACCAAACAGGCCACACCACAGCACCTCTTGTACCAGGACGAGCCCCTGTCTGCCCCGTACACCTGGACCACCGCTGAGCACAATGTCTGCAAAAAGATAAAGAATCATGAACTTCATGAAACAAGCAAAATACACAATTATCGATCATCCTAAAATTAAGAGCAAAGCTTTTTTTGATAATGTTTTTCAAAAAATACTTCATTAAGGGAATAGTTCACATAAAATGAAAATTTGCTAAAAATGTACTCACCCTCAGCCCATTCAAGATGTAGATGAGTTTGTTTCTTCATCGGATCAGATTTGGAGAAATGTCGCATTACATCACTTGCTCACCAATGGATCCTCTGCAGTGAATGGGTGCCGTCAGAATGAGAGTTCAAACAGCTGATAAAAACATCACAATAATCCACAAGTAATTCACACGACCCCAGTCCATAAAGTAAAATCGCCTTAATGATGGATTTTTTTTTTTTTTTTTACAAACACGCAGCATCTCAATTCACAATACATTCACTGATGGACTGGAGTCTTGTGGATTATTGTGATGTTTCTATCAGCTGTTTGGACTCTCATTCTGATGGCACCCATTCACTGCAGAGGATCCATTGATGAGCAAGTGATGTAATTCTACATTTCTCCAAATCTGTTCACATAAAAACCCTTTCAGTTTGGGTGAATTATTCCTTTGATAAATTTGATCTATCAAAGCATCCAAACATATCTGAAATCCTACAGAAAGTACAGACTTTAGTATAAATAAAATATAAACACTTTATAAATAATGAATAATTGTGAAATATGATAGAAATTCTCAAGCTTTTCCAATCTTAAAGTTGATCAAATATAATAATAAAACAGCTATCTTGGTTACTATCTTAAGTACAAATTAAGAAGGCAACGCACCAACACTGACATGTTCATCCTCTTATGAAATTACTCTCATCACCTGCATTTTCAATTTCAGGGCTGCATTTTGGACAGAGCTGCATATTAATATCTTGGAGAAACTGTAAACATCAAAAAATGCATAGAAATCAGTGTATGAATACTGCATGATGTTGTTTGCTGCACACACTGGCCACTGCAGATATAAAATACTGCTGTAATTTAAACTGCAGCCAAGTACTTGGAGACACATTTGATGGGGCATTTTATTCTCTCTCCATAGGGACTCTTACTCGAAGAGTGTCTGCGTTCCATGCACATGACCCAAAGCAGCATTTCGAACACTTTTTCAGGACACGGGTTACCGAAAGGAAAAATAGGCCAGTGTCTTGGCAATACTGTCATAGGGAGGACAGCCAAGATCGCACAGAAGATGAAATATTTTCCATGGACATGTAACACTCGCATTCACACACACGCAGGCGTATGCTGAGCAATTACAGGAGACCAAAGAAACCTTGTCCTGTGCTTTAACGCACACATTAGACCGAAACATTTCTGATGAAAGCATTCAACACCACCACTAGCCATTGAACAAAAAAGATTTTAAATGAAGTATCTGATCAATACAGACCTATAAAGTTTTCATTAAGCAATAACTTAAGAAACCGCCTGTCAGCAGGATTGCAACAACCCTGAATAATTGAACAAATAAACCAACGGATTAAACAATTATCAAAAATATTCTGATCAATTGATTAACAGAAAAATAAACAGATTAACTAATGATCAACTTTTATTAAAATAATTAAAAGTGTGCATATAAGAAAAATGAATCGTGGAATTTGTAATTCAATAATTCTAATTAATTTATAATATTTTACTAAATTATAAAAAAATAATTCAATAAACAATTCAGTACTTTAATTGGTTTCATAAATTGAAGAATTCTCTAATCAGATTAAAAGAAATAGTTCACAGTTTAAGAGATTATAAAGTCAACATTTTATCAAAGATTTTATAAACTTTGAATTGACTTTTACAATTGAATTGAATTAGACAATTAGCAATCTGACTAACAGAAATAAGCAGATGAACTCATTAATAAAAGTAACTGGATTAATCAACTGAATAAATGTTTCTCAAAAGTGTTTTAATTAAATGCTTGCAATTTTAAATCAAATTAATTCATCAATAAGCAACTGAATGCATACGTTTCTTAAAAGTAATTTGATTAATTGATTGTTTTTTGTTTTAAATAATCAAATTAATTGATAATCGATTGAAGAAATAAGGTTCTTAAATTTAAATGATTGAAAATTTTAATTATCAAAAGTAATCTGATTAATTCTTGTTTTAATTTTTCTGAAAATCAGATGGAGGCATTAAACATTTATTTTAAATCAAATGAAAATTTAAAAAAAGGAAGAAAAACTGTGTGAATATTCCTTTAAAACATTTTTAATAGGCTAATAATTGTATTATTTTTTTTCTAAAATTAAGTCTGGTTGTAATATTTATTTTTATAATTGAATGGTTTTACTTAAATTTGATAGAAAATTTAATATTTAAAGACGTACATTATACTGTACAAAAGTAATATATTTCTGTTACATGTTAAACCGTACTTTTATTTTGACAGGTTGCCATGAAGCTACTGTGTGTATACAGTATGATGCTAGTTTTCTCAAATGAAATGGTAAAATTCTCGCGAAGTGACTCTCACAGCAGCTCTGAAGATTACGTTTTTGTGTTCATGCCGTCATATAGTGAGACGCAGAGGCCAAAAATCACAGCGAGCGTCACGCGTGCTTCAGTATTTGTGTAGTAGACAAAACCGCGTTTCCGCCATTCATACATACAGAGGCAAGCGGAACATGCAGGATTCATATTTAAACAGTCTTTTTGCATTTTAATATTCACAGACACGAATTCATATCGTGATTCGAATTAAGTCACAGTGGCTACTTTTCATTTATTTGTCCAAAATTCACGAATTCCGTGGCATTCCGCACTATAGAGTAAATCAAGTTATGAATGGACTCCGCGTTTTCGCAGAAACCGTATGGCCCTAGAAATGTAAGCACACTTCACAACATTTCGGCTTGCCCTGTGTGTTGTTTGAACGAGTTGCAGGGGTGACCTCACGTCACAGGGTTTCTCTTTCTCTCTCTGTAGCATATGTGCCCAGATGCGTTCTCAGGTACCGATATTTGGCACCGATTGATTTAATGTGAATTGGTACTTGGTAGTACCAACGCAATTCGGTCGGTACCCTTAAAAGTACTGAATTTGGTACCCTAAACGCAACATCCAAAAGAGGCGACTGATGGACATTTGCCATGGCTTTTCCTAGTTAACTGCATCCGTAAGGCATTCCTGTCTGCAAAAGTCTTTGCTAAGAACATAAACGCGCATTAAAGACATACATTTCACCCACTTTCACGGGGATCATGACTTTGTGTCAGACTCTGGTGAGGTTTGTTTGGAAACCCGATTCTGGATCAGTATTGGCTCAGCAGCTCTATTCATTAAAGCTGGATTTCACATTTCTTGTTTGTATGAAGGCTGAATACCAATAAAAGGTGAACATTCATTTATTTGCGCCATTTTTTCCCTAAAATATTATATAGTTTTATAGGAGCAGGTTTCATAGAGTTGGCAAATTAATTTTTCTTAAGTTTGTAGGTACAGACAACTGTTGTGGCCGTTCTTGGCCGTTTTTATGAGGCTTTTCTTGGCCGTGTTCATATCGAATTATATCGTATCGACTGAAATTAAGAAATATATCGTGATATAAATTTTGGCCATATCGGCCAGCCCTAGGGTAGGCCTAATTTTCGATTTTTTGGGTGAACTATCCCTTTATGTTGATTAATGCATGTACTGTTTTATCACTCTTAAAACGTCTCTCTGTAAAATGTTGTGATCCAAAAGTGTATTATACTGCATAACTTGAAATAACTTCACAAATATTCTTTGGATTTATATTTTGCAAATAAAGACATTCAAACATTTGGACAAGTGTCCAAATACTATAACTATGGGCCCTCAAGTAGGGCAGACAAGACAGCCAGAGATAACTTGTGTAAAGAGCAAATATCTTCACTTCTGACAATTTAAAGCAAAATTAGATATAATTATGTAATCAGGGATGTAGATGTTGTTTCAATTTAGCAGGGACAGCGAACTGAAAGTTTCCTCTCAACGCACATTTGATGCTTCCAGAAATTAAAAAAAAAGAATTAAACTTATTAACACTTTGAGAAGAAATGGATAGCTAGCCTACTTGAGACCGAACACACAACACAACAGTCTTACTATATTTTGTGCCAACTAAAGGCAGTGACAGACAGAGAGAATAGCAGATAGAAATACATACAGAAAGAAAAAGGTAGATAGATTGACAGACAGACAGAATAACAGATAGAAAGACAAGTAGACAGACTATGTGATAGCTTCACATATAGATAGCTAGAAGGATAGATGTACAAACGTAGATAGATAGATATAGATTACTGACATTTGGTAGAGTTTGCAGGCCATCTGAGACATTAGCTGTGACCAAAAGGCTGTAGTGAGTGTAGTGAGCTGCTAACATAGACCGCATATTTGGGCATCATCGGCACGTGCATCATTCAGCGGACTCAGAATGCACTTAAGATGCTGTCTTCGTAGGCAGCTCACTAGGTTTTGTCGACCCAGCCTTCACTCAAGCAGAAGGCCTACTGCCATTTACTCGGATATCACATGGAATATATAATTACCAACTCACAATCATACGAATAGCTTACACTACAACATCTAACTTCAATAACAGAAGTATCATTTGCTTTGACAGTGAGGAGGATGTTCCCAGTGCGTCCTTATGGACATCACAAACGCGTTAAAACACAACTGTCCTGGCCAGAAGTTACCGCCGTTCGTTTGCATCGCATCACTGGATATTGGAAAAGCAGGGTGGTTTGCATGTGGACTTGCGGTTAAAGGACTAACTGTTACAGATCGGCCGTGAGAGTAAACGCAACTTACGATGCATTTCCTGCCCAGGTAGTTGAACAGACACTCGTTCTCCTGCGGGGTCAGAAGCAGAGAGCCCACGTTTGCCACCCTCCTATGGGGCGGGTGGCCGCTCATGTTGACGGATGAGGCGGATGAACTTGAGCGTTTGTCTCGTGTTAGATTATTTTATGTGCAATCACAGATCAACATGGCCTGCGCTCCGTTCATCCCGTAAGGAATTCCGCATGCAAGTAGAGCCGATGTAGTGTTGTCCTCAATGCGCGGGCGATGCAGGTGCGACTCGTTAACTCCTGTGGCTTATTTATTCTTTAATTCGTCCACTTTTGACAGACTGCATGATATAAACTTTCATTCCGAACTCCTAAAGCAATAACGATCCTTCAATCCAACATGGCAGCAGGACGGTAGAGTTCAAGGCGCAGTTTGAGAAAGGGTAGAAAGAAATTCGGTCGGGCCAGGTGTTAGCGTTTCTGTACTTTACAAACATACTCTTTTGTTGTTATTTAGTTACAAAGTACTAAAGTTGAAATCACAAAAACGATGCTGTATTGTCTAAACGTGAGTTGTTGCGAATTAAAACAGTGATCCGTAATCAGTAAACCCCTCTAGTTTCTCGGAATGGTTTATCCCTGTTTTCCCGTGCCTCCTGCAGAATGCGGACGGGATGCGCACGGGATGGGCGGGGCCTCTGAGGCAGAGGGTGGAGCACAGCGCCGTCATTGATAGAAGGAGATTACAGTATTTTGACGCTCTGTTTTAAAGATAGGATAACTATGCTGCTGTCTCATAAAGCGGATAATTTCTATTGAAGCTTCTGAATCTTAAAATCCATAATATAGTATTATGACGAGAAACACCTGTTCATTGTATCACTGCGCAGCTACATTGCTGTTACATTGCAACGTTTGATAAGGGACTATATATTTTGTAGTGGAAGGATACCACTTATAATTTTGTAATTTTATATATTTTTTAATTTATTTTTTAAATGTACTTATTGGTTTTTAATATGTTGTATTTTAATTGGTTTTCAGACTTTATTACCATAAAAATATTAAAACTTTTTTTTTATAGTTTGCCGAATTTATGCACACACTTCTATCTCATATCAATACTGATTAGAATGTATATTTGATATACTGATATACTAAATACACGTGTGTGTGCAATAATGCATTTTCGTTCAATGCATTTTTTGATTATTTATTTTGAAAATTGGTTACAAAATATATGTAAAAAACTAAAAATTATGTGTATATATATATATATATATATATATATAATATATATTAATAATTTAACAACTACAGAATCTGTTCTAGTATCTATCTGTACTAGTATGGGCTGTGTTTGTATTCGTTTGAATTTTTGACCATTCTTATAAATAAATTAACCCCAGCACTAGATCCTGGAAGTTGAGCCAACCTGAGATGTTTTATAAGGTGAAAGTCTGGCTTTCCTCAGTCCAGACTATAAACTATAATTGTAAAATGTTTACCACTAATTGAAACCACCAGTTATATTCTATTTGGAGGATAACAGTGATCACACAATTGGCATATCTGTGTGGCTGCTGTATGTTTAGACAGTCTTTTCTCACGAGATAATGATGCCTTCAGTTTTCCATGGAGATTCAGCACATTCTACACTGTTATTACAGAGCAAAAAAACGTCACTTTGCAATAAACCAGTAATTTCAGTGTAATTAATAAGAAGGCAAGATAAAGAGCTATCACTTTAACCCATAGAACCAAAAACTTTTGGAGCCCAGAAATTATAACCTCCCTATATGGAGAATCAGACAACTTAAGATTATTGTTATTAAAAAAACTTTTCACAGCTATAATTTTATTTATAATGCCTGATTAATAATTGTCCAGTCTTATGTAACAGCATCAGGGACAGAGTTCACCTCGTTCTTCCCTACCAATGAACAAATGAAGAACAGAGAGGCAAAAAAAGAGACAGATGGAGGATCTTGTTTGAAAGCGGAGCCCTGCCAGGGGACACCTGGCCTCCTGTTAAACTCTGCTACTGCACTGCATGTTCAACACAAACTGAGACAAGATGAGAACTTTAGCAATCCAAGACACATGCAAACCAAGATTACACTCTCTTGTACATACTCATGCTTGAATTGTCCTAAAATAACACTTTTAAGACTTTTTGTCTTGTGTAAAAAAAAAAAATATATATATATATATATATAT